TGTGTGGACCTGACGCAGGGGCATGTCCGACCGGCAATACTGGACACGTTCGGTCACTCCAGGGCGGCTCTGGGAGCTTTCTGGAGTTGACCTGACGCTGCCCAGCCAGCATCCATTTGTTTTTCGTCGTTGCGTCCGATCGTTCACTAACTTTCGCGCAGAGATAGAGCCGTTGGGCGCCAATGGCTATTTACGTTTGAACAAGACACGTGGCGTTTCAGCAGCGACTGGACACGTCCGATCGCCATACCGGACGGGTTCGGTTAGTTCACAGATAGCCAGTGAAGGGGTATAATGGCTAGTTGAGTTATTGGGTCTCTATAAAAGCATGGTGGCTAGCTCTTGCTCACTCTCTTGGTTCTCTAACTTGTTGATACACCATGTGAGCAAACTCCCATGCCTCCCATTCATCTAGCTTGTGATTTGATCATCATAGTGAGATTGGGAGTGATTTCAAGTGCATTTGCTTGAGTGATTGCATCTAGTGACACTTGGAGATCGTTGTGGCTACAGATTTCTTGTTTTTCTTGGTGGTTGCCGCCACCTAGATGGCTTGGAGCAGCTGAGGAGCTTCGGCATGTGTTGGTGATTGTTTGTGGCCAGCTCCGGTGATTGTGAGGGGTCTTGTACCTTCCTCGGCGAAGAGCCGAAAGGTAACTCTAGTGGATTGCTCGTGTCATTGAGTTACCTCACTTGTGGGTAGGTTCTTGCGGCGCCTCTTGTGGTGGGCTAGGTGTGTGATACCTATTAGCCGCCGAACCACCGAGTGTTGGTCGACACAATGGGGACTAGCGTGCCAAAGAAACACGTGAACCTCGGGAGAAAAATCGTGTGTCACTTGTCTCTTGGATTTCTCCCGGTGATTGATTGGTTTTCACCATGTGATTGGTTTATTCCTCTACACGGTGGTATAATCACCCTATTCACTCTTTACATTTCTTGCAAACTAGTTGTCAAGCTCTTTAGTGTAGCTAGTCTTTGAGAGCTTATTAGTTTGGTTAGTGTGGCTCTTTATTTAGTCTTTGAGAGCACACTAGCTTAGTGAGTAGTGACATAGCCTTGTTGTGTGCCTAGTGATCATAGCAACTAGAATTGTTGGGATAGGTGGCTTGTAACCCTTATAGAGCTAGAGTAAAATTGCATTACGCCATTTGTTGTACTAATCAATTGCTCTAGTGAATTTGTAGAGTTTTAAATAGGCTATTCACCCCTCTCTAGCCATATTAGGACCTTTCAGTGGTGCCGACCTTGGCGGATGGCAGCACAAGGCAACACCACGAGCGCTCTGGAGTCGACGAGCCACACCCAGGGGGTGCACTAGACTAAGGTAATGTGTAACGAATGCAACTTCCTATGGAACAAGTAGCACCACGCAAGCACTTGTCACTACATCAGGCAAAAGGTGCCCACACAAATGAATGGACACAGGCGCCGGGAGTTGGCCGCACATTAGCGGGGTCCTCCAAGCAGTCATAGGTCTAAGACAACTCATGTATCAGCGTAGCCACAACGGTTAAGCCATCCAACGCAACCCCATGCTAGGCACGATGAATCTACATGTGAGAACGACAATCGAAGGTCCACAGCACGGGAGGAACCGAAACGTATCCAACAAGTGGCCAAAAGCATGCGGCCAACCATGAAAGGCGTCCGACCGGCGGTAGCAGCCATAGCCATGGCCGCATGATGTCCACCCACAGCGACCGCCAGGCACCAGGCAGTAGCAGCCCACCAAAGATGGCCATGGCACAAAGCAGAACAGTGGCTCATGGCAACATGTTAAGTTGCATGCAGCTCGCTAGATGCAAAAACAGAGCAGACAGAAGATGTAAATGATGCTAACAGGACTAAAAGAGAGGGCAACAACACATTCATGTGGCATGTCATACGAAAGTGATGACAATCGAGGAGGGAATCCAAGGGGGGGAAGATAGGGGACGTGGAGTGCCACCAGAGAAGATCAAGGATCAATTAATTACTTGGGGGTAAAAAACAAAGTGTTGCATGCATGGCAAGCAATAGAGTGTTGGTGATGGAGTGATGTACATGAAAAGTCAGACCCAAAAGAGCACAGAAAATCAATAATAAGTATGTGTAGAAGTTGGAAGAAGACGAAAAATCACTTGTGACGCATCGGGTTGAACCAAGGCACGAGAATATATACGAAAAAAACGTTCACCCCTCACCTCCAGTAGTTGGTCAGCCCTCGCCCCATACACAGTTCTCTCTCGACGAAATTGTTCCTTGTTCAACGTTTCCTGCGATGGATGATCACCAGAGGGGAACCATTACCAGCACCTGAATTGCTAGTGGTGGCGTCGTCGATGCATGTGGTCATGCTGCATGTTTCACTAGGCTCCGACGTGATCATTGCGATTGTCGAGTTTGCGCATCGCGAGAACGTGTGCATCTCAGTTCTCTCCACGAGCGGCTAGACAGAGAATGCAACGCTATGGGTGCCGTCCCTGCCCGCATTCACGCCCGCGACAAAGCTACCGCTGTGCGTGTGTGGTCACCATGAGCTATTGTCGCTATTCAAGATAGTTCTGATGCCTCCCATGATGGCCTCACCACCTATATTCTCGGTGTTTCTGGCATGCATTCTCTACCTAGCCTCTCGCAGAGAGAACAGAGATGCACACATTCTCGCGAAGCGCAAACTCGGCAATCGTCACAATCACGTTGGAGCCTGGTGAAACATGCAGCACAACTACATGCATGGACGACGCCACCACAAGCAATTCTAGTGCTAGCAATGGTTCCTTCAGGCCTTCCGAGCTTTGGTGATCGTCCATCGTAGGAAATATTGAGCAAGGAACAATTTGGTTGGGAGAGAACTATGTATGGAGCGAGGGGTGACCAGCTGCTAGAGGTGAGGGTCTAAGGGGTGAGCGTGTTTTCCGTATATATTCTCACGCCCAGGCTCAACCCAATGTGTCATGAGCGATTTTCCGTCTTCTTCCCACTTCTAGATGCACTTTTATTGATTTTTGGTGTTCTTTTAGGTCTGATTTTTCATGTACATCACGCCATCACCAATGCTCCATTGCTAGCCATGCATGCAACACTCTGTTTTTTACTCCCGAGTAATTAATTGACCCTTGATCTTCTTTGGTGACACTCCAAGTCCCCTATCTTGCGCCCTTGGAGCATTGTTGATGGCATAAATTAACTTGAATATATGAACTACTCCCTCCATCCAAAAGTCTAAATTGAAACTTCTCTCTATCATCCCTCCTCGATTTTCTACCATCCCACCCGACTACTATACCTGAGGGGCATCCCCCCTCCCAGAAGTTCTGAGAGTTTTCCCTTCATAAAACCACACATTTTTGCAAGACCACATGAAATCCATGTGATATGAAGTTTTTCCCACGTTTCTGCTCATAAAACTGGAATTTTGGAGAACGGGGTCACACGTTAGTCGTTCTGGCCATGAATGGACCGAACCTTGGACTTTTCATGTGCCAGCCCCATGGGTGCCCCTGTGGGACTGGGCCCCGCTGTCCGTTTTGGCCCGTTTTCGCTAGATTTTGGCCCATTTTTTGCCTGTTTGTCGCTCATTCTATCCCAGACTCGGTTTTTGACCGACTTAGCCATTTTCACCTGCGTCTTTGCCCGACCTTGCCATTTCACCTCCTGACTCCCGTTACCTGTTCTCGGCCCGATGTGAGCCATTTTCGTAACCCGTGACCCGTTTTCGCCTCCCCTGAAATGTTTTTGGCCTGATGTGAGCCGTTTCCGCCCCGACGTGACCCGTTTCTGCCTCTCATGAGCCATATCACTTGCATGTGCTAAGGGTCCTAGTCACGCCCACCATCCGTGCATAAGTACACACAAGGCCAACCAACCATGCAACTAACCAACCGATGGATCCACCCTTTGCCATCGAAGCTTGCTACGATAGGCTGTTGGACGGCCAGGTAGGCCGCGAGGTGACCGAAACTTGTTCAACAATAGGCCAAAAGCATGCGGACAACGCGCAGGGCGTCCGACCGGCCATAGCTAGCATAGCCGCACATGGACGCATGATGGACACCCATGGCGGCCATGCAGTTAGCAGTAGCTAGACGAAGCTGGCCACGGTAAGGTGACAGCTGTCCAGGGAGGCTACGCGGGTGGTCGAGGGCCAGTGGAGTAGCCTTGGTGAAAACACTCGAAAAACTAGTGGTTTTGCAACAGTTTACCAAGGTCTTAATCGCTCAAACCCCTCATCCCCTACTGTACCCGAGGGGCATCCCCTCCTAGATGTTCTGGGAGGTTCCCCTTCACAAAACCATATGGTTTTGGAAGACCACATGAAATCCATGTGATATGAAGTTGTTTCCATGTTTTTGCTCACAAACAAAGGTTTTGGAAAACGGGGTCACACAGGACTCGTTGTGGCCACAGATGGAACGAACCTTGGAATTTTCATGTGCCAGCCATGTGGGCGTGTCACCTAGGGCCCACTGGGCGCCCTGGTGAGACTAGGCCCCACTGCCCATTTTTTGGGCCGTTTATGGGCCATTTTGGCCCATTTTTTGGTTGTTTTTTTGCTCGCCTTGTCCCTTACTTGTTTCCGGACTGACTTAGCCATTTTCACCTACAACTTTGCCTGACCTTTCAGATTCGCTTCCCGTTACCTGTTCTCGACCCAATCTGAGCCGATTTTGCCTCCCGTGAACTGTTTTCGGCCCGATGTGAGCCATAATTGTCGCGCGCGCTGCGAGTCCTAGTCACGCCCGCCATCCGTTCATTAAGGCTTCTACTACAAGCTGGCCTCAAAGCCCGACGCAGGATCATCCTCATCTCACTGTACCCAGTTCCTGGGTGGGGTGGTTTTAGCTGCACAGCCTAGTGTTCTAGGACTTCATCTGTTTGTCTGAAGTTTGTTTAGCATATGTATCTACTCTTTTATATAAAAGGTTCTATCATATTTTGATCTATTTAATCACTACAAATTATCTTTCTTGCGATGTGTCCCTGAATATGCCCTCAATCTGAGAAAATGGCAGCAACTACACGCCGCCCGGCGTGGTCGCCATGTCCGACTTGTTCCGTATGTACGTGGACATCACCCTCTTGGCATCCTCCCAAGTCATCCTCTTGTTCGTCGGTAGCTTCTTCCTCGAGTTGTGCGCGGCCATGAAACCTATAGTCACCATTGACAGAGTAGAGCGTATTGAGAGGAGAGGACGTTCCGGAGCTTGACCTTCCTCTTCGTCGCGCACGACATACGTGTTTTGAATAGCCGCTGTCTGCGTCGCAGTGGCCACGGTCTCCAGCGTGCGGCCGATCATGAAGGCCTCCTTCCCCAGCGTGCCGCCTGACGGGTCCGTCACCACCACCGGCACTAGGGTCATCGGCTTTGCCACCACCTGTCGCCGATGGACTCGGTGTCGGTGACGACACGGCGGTCTGGGATCTCGGTCCCAGTGACGGTGGCACCAGAGCGTCGAAGCGAACTGAAGGACGGCGACAAACCTGCCCTTTTGCACCCGGCCGAGCACGGTCTGCTCTACGGATTCTAGCAGCATGCACGGGGTCCCTAGGAGCCTCAGGGCTAATCTATTTGAGAGAGCTCCACAGTGGATCTAAACTTATGGGGTGTCTAGATGCAGGCGTAAAGTTTCGGGGTGTCACATTGGATGTTACATGAGGTATTCGGATACTAATAAAAAAATAAATTACAGAATCCGTCAGTAAACCGCGAGACGAATTTATTAAGCCTAATTAATCCTCTATTAGCACATGTGTGTACTGTAGCACTTTATTATCAAATCATGGACTAATTAGGCTTAAAAGATTCGTCTCGCAAAGTAGTCGTAATCTGTGTAACTAGTTATTTTTAGTCTATATTTAATACTCTATGCATGTGTCCAAACATTCGATATGATATAGTGTAAAGTTTTGACGGAGGAACTAAACAAGGGCTTATATGCAAATTTAAAATACTACCTAGGGGCTAAATTAAAAAAAAAGACACTAACACACACAAATTGCCATCCTCGTGTTCTCCGAGAGGCAACCGGGAAGTGGCGAATCTAGCCGAAAACATCATTGGGGTCATCGAGATCAAGTTCATTATGTGATAATTTTTCTTAAGTTGAACAGTAAGTTACTAAGGATTTTACAAATTTCGTCGGGGTCTGTCTCCACCCGATGAACCCCCCCCCTAGATTCGCCCATGCGAGCGGGTGTGGGAGGGCGGCAAGAAGACGTGCGGCGTGGCAAGGGGAGAGGTGTGCGCCAACCATCGTATCGTGTATCGTGTGGCCGAGCAACACCGACACCGCCCTGCCTAGGGAAGCATGCGTAGCCAGCCTTGACCTAGTGAAGCTATTTTTTAGAGAAAAATCCTTGGTTGCTTTTTAAACTTGTAACAATCCCTTCATTGCCCCTGAAAAATATGTCCTCCATTGCCATCTGTTTACCTTACGTTCCCTTCGTTGCCATTCTGTCAATTCCGTGGGCAACGTCGTTTGGAGGAGCTCCTGTACTTGTAGACTCGGCGCCTTCACCATTCGCACGAGGCCACGAGCAGAGCACGCGACGGCGTTCCATTGGCAACGCACTGGAACTGCGAAGAGGGCACCGCTTCCGCCTCCATGGCTGCGTACGCTTGAAGGCACCGCCGCCGGTGGAGGGGCGAGGCTGCGACAAGGACGCAGGCACCGCCGCCGGTGGAGGAGCGAGGCTGCGACAAGGACGAGAAGGAGGAGATGGGCACCACGGAGGACGCCGCGGCAGTGGCAAGCGGTGGCGCGACAGGTTGGAGGCGAAGAATGTGGCAGCACAGATCTTGCAGCGCAAGTGTGCCATTCTGGGCGTATGCCCGGAGGCGGGCGGCGGCACCTGCACGGGCTCCAGGTGCGCCCAGTGTTGGCAAACAATCTCAGGATTGCATGCAAGCTCATGCGAGGACTAGCCTATAGCACGATGCAGTAGCAAAAGAACACGGAGACGTTTTTAGATGACAGAGCACCCGTTGTGGAAAAAAAAGATGACTGAGCACGATGTCGAGTGTCTCAAGCAAGATAGTAGAATGAAAACTGATGCCTCTTATAATAGCACTCTAGCATCTACTCCTATATATCGAAAAAACAGGAAGTAAACTCGTGCACGCCGCAAATTATTGAGTAGAAAAAAAAGCAAGAATTTTTTCAAACTCATTCAGAAACATATTGGACTTCCATAAGCTCATGCAAAAGCTTCCATAAATGAACCCATTTCCATTTTACGTTGCTGCCCACTCGTCAGCCCGGACTACTACTTCGTCATCGCCTAATACTGAAATAAGAACAAACAATCAAGATAATGCCTACTTCGGCATCGCCTAATACTGAAATAAGAACAAACAATCAAGATAATGCCTTACTTTCGCCCATGGTCATTGAAGGTGTGGCACACGAGCAGGCAACCGCCTCTACCACTCGAAATCCCGAAGAATAGCAACCACAACGTGAAGCTTCAAGTCATATATATACCATGTCTAAATAAGAATCATCTGTGGCAAAGAACAATATGTGGGGGAGGACAACATAGATCTTAGTCTGACAGCCAGTCGTCCTAGAACGACCAAGTGCGCAAGCAAGATGGATCGTCCCAACAAAATCCCAAAGGCAGAGACGGCACCACCGCACCAGGGCATAAATATGCGGAGATAATAAACAGTCCCTACCATGGTTACCTATATATTTTCTATAAACAACTCATCTGAGTCGCAGCGACCTGCGAACACAATGTTCACGCAATCACCCGAGACTCCACTACACCACAATCTCTAGCAGCCGATCTGGAATACGCTCCTCCAATAACCCATATGACAAACAAGGGGCGTGTGCCAGGCAAGAATACATAATGTTCATGAATACCAATCAGCACGATTAGTATTTTGGCGGTGCTGGTGGCAACCGGTTCGGTGTGCGCCGGCTGCCAGAGTTGGCACCTGAGCTCACATCCCCATTCTCGTAGCGCCGACTGCGGCCATCAGTACTTCTCGACCTTGATTCACTGTTTGTGCTTGCAGCAACAGGCCCATTTGATGCGGAATCAAAGGCAGACCTCCAGTCCTCACCTGAGCGGTTCGGTGTTCGAGGGCTCTCTGCAAATAATAATTTTTTTGGATCATTACGGAATCTTCCACATAACATGAAACAAAATATCTAAATTGCTATTTAATCATACCTTCAGTGTGCAGTGCATCCAACCAGTATGCAAAATGTATCAAATACTAAATGGGATAACCACAGGAACATCTAAAGGATCTATTTGGTATAGCAAACATAAGCTAGAACGGCCTTGACCAAGGTTCATTAGCTAAATAAGGCTTTGGGACATGAGCCTCCTTGGCTCCTTGCATGACCATTGCTTATATAAGCTGACTTCTTAATGTGGGCTAATATAATTACAATGAAGACTTGTTAATTACAAGCCTAGCAAACATCAGAATAATAGTTAGCACAGGACTACTAGCACTGCTTTATCAAGTAATAATCGCCAGCGAATTTGTTTTGTTTGGCCAGGAATCTTAAGAAAATGCCTTCAATTAGCATCAAAGCTACCACCCACAGACAGTCTATTATCTACATTAGGCACTAAACCATATTGGCCAATCGTCTTTACAGGATACATAAGGGGGGGAAGTTAGGCTATTGCACTTGATGTTGTTAAACAGATAATGAAAATGGCAGCTTACCAGCTTCAGTGGTGTCATTAGAATAAGAGGAAACAGATGCCCTATTGTCATGGATACTGAGTTGACGAGTAAGTTTTGACAGGAGAGTTGATTGTTTTTGGTACTTCTCCCTTCTGCGCTTAGCATTATGGTCCTCTTGAAGAAGCTCTTCAATCTTAGCGTTGCTTTGCCCACTGGTAGTGAAATGAATGAAAATACAAAAGTTATTCAAAATGTACTAAAAATAAGCATAAGCCATATTAAATATATGGCAACCAAAATTGATTAGAAATATTACAAAAGGAGAGAATAAACATCTGTATTAGTGAATTTTACATCCTTAATTTCGAAAAGTTATCCAGATAAAGTGAGGAATTCAGAACAATCATACAGGCTACAATCCAGATTATTAGGTCAAGGAGTCAGGCTACAATCCAGATTATTAGGTCAAGGAGTTAGTGTACTAGTATGTTCAAGTATATGCCAGCTTTATTTCCTTGAATGTCAAAGGGCGCCTAGCTCAAACGGTTAGGTGACCCAGCGGCACTCCTCAGGTCCTGAGTTTGACTTCCCGTGGGAGCGAATTTCAGGCTGAGGTTAAAAAAATCCCCTCGCCCGTCCCCATAACCAAAGCACTGGGGGGCACCGGCCCAATTCTCACTTGGGCGACGGGAAGCCACCATGTAAGGGTGGGGGCGGGGGTTCGGGGGTTTTCTCGGCCGGGTGAGAAGGTCCTTATTTGAAATGCTGCGGGGCAGTCTTAACCCCCCCCGGTCGAGTTTTTTTTTATTTCCTTGAATGGCATATTGCAACAATATTAGCATAAACCATCCGCTAGGTGCTAATCTCTGGATGAAGAAATAGAAAACACATACTCCCTCCATTATATTTTCATTTGGTATTCAACTTTGACCACTATCACAGCATATTTATTTATTTAAAGCTAATATTTATGGGACTACGAAATTACTTCTCAACAAAAGTCTACACATGGCTCTTCTGTTTGCAAACTAAACAATATCTTATAAACTGACAGTTAAAGTTTCAAAAGTTTGACTGCATCTTGTCCAGAATGTCAAGTGTTTGAGAACAGAGGGAGTATAAAGTACAGAACATCAACCTTATTGAGCTGTATAGCTGGTTAAGCATGTCTTCCTTTGCTTTCTCCACTTGGCAAAGCACGATAGCCTAATAAGCACAGACAGATAATGAAAATTTGACACAAATATAAGGCCATATAAACTGATTGACAGAACAATATGAACCTTCGGAACATTTGCTGCCAGACTACTCAAAACAGCCTCAACATAACCACGAACTTCTTGAGACATCCATCTAAGTTCTTCCTCAGGATCAGCAGGTCTCCGTGCCATAGTATCCTTTCGAAAAGTGTATGATCAGATATTAGTTTGTGTATTTTAATGGAACAGTATTTATATTGGCACTTACAAAACATACAAGGGAACCTGAGATTACATGACCCCTAATAAATCAAGATTTAATTGAGTAAAGCAAAACTACAAATGAAAGCTAGATATGCAATTCAATTATGTATTAATCTAGAACTTACTAAAGCGCCATCTGAATTGCTTTGCCTCATTGAACCACCCTCAGCACTTTGACCCTTGAAAGAACCCCCTTTGCTTTGAATAACAGCTTTGATCTTATTTACCCACTCAACCTTGTCAGCCATGCTCTCAGCCTTTAACACAACAGCACTGTGAGCTGCAAAATTTAAAGAAAAGAATTATAAGAACCATGAAGCAAATATAATTCTGTAGGCTGTACGATTCAAGGGTATATCAACCTTTTAGGACTGTTTTGTATGCGACCCTGTTAGTAATCTTAAATACAAGACTTGGTGTTTTTTCTGATCCATTTGCCTTTTTTGAGTCTTTTGAACTTTTAGAAGGTTCTTCCTCCTCTACCTCCTCAAGGTTGCACTCCTGCAAATGAATACAGCTTACGACATAAGCAAGTTGCTAAAGCAGTCCATCTCACAGTTCTTTACATTAAGCCATGTTTTGCCAGATCAGTATAACTTTCTAGTAGGGTCCAGAGAACAGGGAAAAACTGTTTCAATGGTAATGCAAAAGTTATGTGATCATTATATTATCTCGGTGTCACATGGCATACATAACACATATTATGAAGGCAAAGGTTATGCACACCTCAAGAGTGATGACACCACGAAAATGTCTCTCCTCTTGTTTCTTTGTGTACCCAAGCTGGCATAGAAACAACAAATAGTGAATAAAACCACACCCACATATCAAACAAGAACCATGAAATACAATAATCAATAAGCAGTAACTAAAATTTTGAAAACCAAAGGGCTTTCACATACATATCAAACAAATCAAGAGTTTAAAAGAAATATTCTGAGAACTGATTAACCTTTCCACTCTTCTCAGTAAGAACAAACCATCTTTTCTTCCACCCATTAGTTTTTGCACCTTTCTTTAAGAGATAACCTGCAATGGAACAGAAGAATATATATGCTTATAGGTTTACTTCTCAAATCAATCAAAATGTATCCGCTACCATGAACACATGTGAAGTGGTTGAAGCAGTTAAGAATTCTTGTTACCTTGCCCATGCCAATCTAACAAACTAAATGGGGAACGTCTCAAAAAGATTGAAGTTAGTTAGTACATGGTGCAAGTATGCAGCTAATTTGTGGCAATGAACATTAAAGAAAAATGTGATATCTATTTTACGTTTAGCAGAATGTTGGTTTGCACAAGCATTTGTGCATAACATTTGAGAATGTATTTCCATCGCCTAATCTAGGCACAGTATGATTTTAGGAGTATTGTACCTGCAGTAATTTCACCAGCAGGACCAGCAACCTGCAAGTTTGATCCCTCTTTTGCGTCCTTGTCTTGCTGGCCAGATTTGTCTTTCGTTGATTTTAAGCTGCCACCACCTTGCTCAGCATCTGTTTGGGGACTGGAGGCCTATAATAACAGTTTAATCAACCACCAGAGCCAATATATACTGTAACTGTAAGCCAAAAAAGTCAGTATGAACTATAAACCTAACCAAAAGATCCTATAGTTTATTATTTATGATAAAATACCACTGCCCAGATGCAAAATCATACCCTCTTAGATGTTGACTGTTCAGCTTCCTGTGTTTTCTTAGAAGATCGATTTCTTAACTCATCCTCCCGACGCTGCCTTTCCATTCTGTCAATACCAGACAAATAGAAGGCCATGGGTCAGTGTTTAATAATTTCATCATGAAACCAGATGTTGCTGCAGCTGAATAATGGACAGTTTAGTTTACAACAGAACTGCAATTCAGTACATTTCAACATAGATAACAAATATGCTTGATAAATCATGAAAACTCCAACAAAGGGAGAAGAGTCACAATCACAACCTTAGGTCGCCTATTTCCGTCAGTGTTTATGTATGATGTGGTTAACTAATAGAGTAGCTGTTTGGAAGTGCAGATATGTTTTGTACTACCTCAGCCTAAAGCCAATTGAATTTAGGGTGCGATTGGTAGCCTGCAGGCGGCCTGACCTAGCCCGTGGCATGCAGGAGTGCAACGATTGGTTGGATGCATGGCTGCCAGAGCCTGGCCGCCCGCATGCAGGACGCCTTGCCGAGCCAGGCTCCCAGGAAACGTAGATGGATTCCATTCTCTCGGGCCTGGCTCGTGCGGGCGCAAGCACGCGCGTCTAGTGGCTCAGCTGTGAGGGAGCGAGTGCAGCAGCAGGCAACCAAACAACTGTTGTGCTGCTGTATGTACTCATTTAGTCAACCAAACATTAAGGGCTTGCATGCATCAGGGCTGTCCCAACTCAGCCTTGCCGGTAGGAATGAGCCAGGCTCTCTTCGTCAACGAACCAATCACGCCCCTAATGGTCCAGCAATGCCAGGCTTACAGTGGAAAACGAGGTGACAAATGGAAGCATATAATACTTCTTTTTGTCAAGTTACAAGCATAGAAAAATGCGAATGAAATGTAACAACTAGAGACAAATTACAGCAACCTGATGACTGACCTTCTTTGCACTAAGCGGATGAAATGTTGGGGAGGAACAAAGGCACGTTCCATATCAACAAGCGCGACGACCATCTTTTTGGCATTATTTTTGAAGGTCTCCAATGCATTTGATGCTATTGCAACAACCTTGACCAGACAAAAGAAAGTTTACACCCCAAAAAGGCCAAAACACACTATCAACAAAAAGAAAGAGGAAAAATACATGTAAAACAGAAAAAGTGATACCTCACGCTTGAATGGAGGATACCTTCCAAGTCCTGGTGTGGCATTTGCGGAAGCACTGACTATGTCTAACAATACACGATGAACCTAATGTAATGACAAATTAGTTTTCCATGGAAGGAAGGAAGATGGGCACTAAAACTATATATAGTATTACTTCACTATTTGTACTCACAAAGAACTTCAAGACAAGTCGACAATATACACAAGACATGACTGACAAATACAATACCAAAGAGGGCATATAACATATAATAGCACATAGAAAACACTCTATAGACCAAAACCTAACTGGACTTACAAAACTTCTGCTAGATAGAAATCACATGCATTAGTAGTTACTAGCTAACAGCTGAGGAATATTAGTCATGGTACACGAAATTCAACCTCGATTTTAAAAGCTAAAATCAGGTAGGCAAGAGCAAGAACAGGTAAACAAAAAATAAATACACATCATTCAAATGCAACCGATGAGAACTAAACTTAAATTTATAAGGCACGCTCTCCGTCCCAAAAAGAATACAATTCTGGGTCCGAATCTGAATTGTCCAGATTCAGACCTAGAATTGCATTCCTTTTCGGACGGAGGGGGTAGTTTTTATCATTGGGCCTGGACAAGTGGTCTTAGCAGTGCTGTAGAGCATAATAAAACATTAGGGTGGGTATAGATTGCAACAGTTGTCAAAACACAGCTACTAATTTTCTTCACTGCTTGTCTCCTGAGGGGTAGGGGAGAACAGAAGTAAATGTGTAGAAGCTAACACATAGTTCTGATGGCCTATATTCTTATTGATTGATTGGAACATACCTCTTCAACACATAGTCGTGATGGCTCCTTTGCCATTTCCAGTACTATTTTTATTAAGGATCTCAACCCTTTCTCTGGAGATATCAAATATGGTTGATAACCATCGGCTTCCAAAACAATCTATTGTGTGGAGAGAAATCTGTTTAATTATGTGCCAATTGCCAACCAGGGTTCAATGTAAAAATCGAAAGTGATCATACCCTTTTGACATTGTTGAGATCGAAATGTCGGTCCAACGGTAGCTGTTTAATTCTGTCTGGAAACTTTCCTTCAAAACTTGCAACAATTTTCCAACCAGATCCCTTTAAAATTAAAAACAGTACACTTTGTTACTGACATCATTATCAACTATTTTAGGAGGTATAACTGCATAACCAAATTTGAAGTGTAAGTTCATTACTAACCTCACCAGATGTTATGTGAGCAAGAAACTTGTCCTCAAATTCTCGGCACAGCTCCAAAGCAACTGCCCGTGTTCCTTCGGGACTTTGTACCATAGATTCTCCCAGCCTTGCCAGTTCATCTTGCACCATTTGAGACTTACCCTGAAGGCTGAAATAGCAGCACAACAAGTAAGCGGGTTTAATTTTAGCAACATACCACGCATAAAAGTAAATTAACACCATCGTAGTAAGAGAAGAATTTGTGTGCCACTACACAGCATTTATATCTAAGTATTAGATAGCAGATACAATGTTACTGAAGAACCAAGACATAATTCTTACCCACTCAATAGGTTAGGAACCCGCACTTTCATTCTTTTACGGATTTGCTTAGCAATTGTGTCAACCAAAGCAGTTCTACCAAGCTTATTCTGAGGAGCTCCAGTTAAGATGTTTTTCAGGCTTTCGGCTTCAGCTCGCCAAGCTGTTTCTAGCGAGTTTTCAGACCCAACTGATTGTGCTGATGCAAGCGCAACAGATTGTCCAATTAGAGCAACCCACTCGATGTCAGGAAGGTTTTTTGGACCCTTGTTCGACAGTAGGGCCTGAACACAAGCTATAGTTTTTGCATCTCCATTTGCTTGATCAACTTTGCTGATAACACCAACAGTTCTTGTCCCTACAGTTACAGTGAATGAAAATACATCAGTTATCAGTTACTACAATAAAATGATAATGAATTACCGAGGATAATTTCAGATAAGACACAGACCATCTGAATCGATATCCTTGGCCAACCTCAGAGCTCGGGACGATGCGACATCAGCAGCTTGCATTGCAGGTATGACAATGAGCAGTATTGCATCATTGTGCCCAGCATACTCATTGATCTAAAGTAAGAAACAATCAGCACTCTGCTAAAGAGTAAGGAAGTTTATGGCCTTAAAAGAACTATAGAAGTGATCTCCATAAGTAGATGTGCAAGGATAATTCAAAAGCTACCAAATAAAATGATACAAGCTACAGAGAAACGAAAGCTACTCCGTATGTTCTAGTGGTCCCAAGATAAAATGTATAGCTTGTCTTTCATCACGATTTAATGGTCTGATGGAAGTTCATTGTGGATATTACTGTGCAAGCAGTTAACCAGAACTCTACCTAATCTGTAAGCATTTATGTACAGCAAAAATAGTTTATTTAGAAACAATTCAAATACCTACCATGGAATCATCAACAGCTCGCTGGTCTATCCCAGGTAAATCAATCAGCTTTAATGAGGGAGCTGAAGAAAAAAACAGGAAAAGTACTGTGAGGATTTCACAAAAGCAGCACAACAAAATAAAAAGGAAAACTAACAAAGCAGATTTAGTACAGCAATTATGTGTGGGGTTCACCAATGTTAGAAAGATGTACTGGCAAATGATTATACTGCTCCACAGTGCAATGTGCAAACACAAATCATACAGTGTCACAAGCATACATATCCCAGCCCAACTGTTAATTTCATCATTGTTCCATGACTACAAGTTCAACACCTTACACCATCACCAAAAGTGTGAGCATATATACTCAACACCGTGTTCTGTACAATGCTAGTGAAACGGACAGATAAACAGCTACATAGTTGCTTAAATGGTTATACTACTCAAAGCACAAACAAACCTGTACTCGTCCGCAGCTTGAGGTAAATCTCATCAGCACGGCCCCTCCCTGATCCACCAGACGCCCCCTTACCGAGTCTGTCCTGCAGTGAATGCCGGAGGGCACCTGCAGCACAGCAGAACGAAACAGGAAATATCAAGGTCAAGATCAGGCTCAGTCCCCAAGCTTCCAAAACTCGTCAATAGATGCAGGAAGCACGGCCACGAGATCCAACTCACTTGCGGAGACCTGCTGCGACTTGCTGTCGATCTGCAGCACGATGGCCTTGCTGCTGAGCCCCGGCTCCCTCTGAAGGTCAACCACTATCGGCGCCCGCGTCGCCCCGTTCTCCCCCGTCGGCTGCACCGCACACGAACACCATCCAAATCCAGTAAAAAAACACAGCACAACAAGGGAAGAGGGAGGAAAGGGAACTAAGCTGCTCGGCTAGGAGGTAGGAGCTCACCAGGACCGGGTGGCCGATGAGGCTGTTCAGCACGGCGGACTTGCCAGCGCCCTGCACGGACAAACGGATCGGAACAGATCAGATCGGGTCACACGAAGCAGTGCAGCACGCTAGCAGCAGGAGCAGATCGCGAGGGGTCTCGTGGGGGGGGGGGGGGCGGGGGACCGATACTCACGACGTTGCCGAGGGCAACGGCGTTGAGGAAGGTGGTGGGGCGGCGCGGCGCGGCGTCGTCGGAGGGGTCGTCGTCGGCGAGGAGCGACGCCGCCTGGCGCATCGACTCGGCGAGCTCCGACAGCTCCTCCATGGCCTCCATGGTCAGCGGTCTCCCCGGCGGCGGATCTCGAGGGATTGGGAGCTGCGGCAACTGGCGGCGAAGGGGGAGACCGAGACCTGAGCTCTTCTGCCCTGGCCTGACGCGGATTTGAAATCTACACGGGGATGGGACGGGGGAGACGTGGGGGTGGTGGATTTGGGCGACACACGAGAGAGAGAGATTATTGGCTGGTTGATTACTCCGAACACGCCGGAGAGACGGGAACGGAGGAGCACTGCACATCAACGGAGTCGTTTGCTTGCTTGGCTGCGAAGGTGCACAATTTTTCGAAGAGCGGTTGGGTTTCGCATGTTGGACCGGGCCCCTACTCCCATCGGGTTTGCACCAGGTCGATTTTTGCGCGGGCAGGACGTGGCCCATGAAGCGAGGGCCTGTTGAATTGAGGAAACTTTGTTTTTTTTGTATTTTTTTATTTACCAGTAAAGATGTCCGTGCGTTGCAACGGCAGAGAAAAAATAATAGTTTGTCTAGGCCAATAGATTTGATTCAACTCAAATGATCACCTCTCCTTTCTCCGTACCTCACCTTCCACCGTTGATTAGTACATCTCAAATCTAGAGTACGTGTTTCTCTCCCATCCGCAACTACATGTCGCAATAATGTTAATTTGGTGTCATAATAGTTATACTCTTTTCTCGAAATACACATAATAGTTATACTTTTTCTAGAAATATGGTCAAAACAAAAATAGTTTTCATTAATATAATTCTAAAAGTTGATTTCATTTCTAATCCAATAAGGATTTCGCGGGCGAATATTTACTCTTTCAACCTTATCAAATAAAGCAATTTTCTTGGATAAATAGAGAGGGAGGGCAGAGTGAGTATAATAAGAAAGAGTCTTCTAAACAGTAGTAATAGTTACATGCACATTATTCTCCAGTACTAATGCAGTGTCTATTTTAGGTAATAGTATATCACGCGCTCATACATATATTACAATGGTATTATGTGTTTCCATTGCAACGCATGGACATTTACCTAGTGATAGGAAAAATACCCGTGTGTTGCTAGAAAAAGATATAGCAAATTTATAATCTATTAACTAAGCAGTGGGATCATAATTTTTCTCAAATATATGACTCAACTCTAATATATTGCAAAAAGTAAATATGGCATAAAGTTAATATTTGAGAAAGATTTTTTTCTTGGGACATGAATCTTGTCGTCATGCTGTGCAAGAATTACGAAAAGGACTGTCGCACAGCTTACTTGAAAGCCTTTTTGTTTGGACGGTCTCAAGCAAAGTTCTTATAGTCACAATGTCATTTACATTATTACAGCTGAAAATATTTCTTTTATAGTCTCGAGCTTCTTGTCATCGAACTATGTGAATTTGAATTTCGAGAACCATGAACTAAATATGATATGTAACTAGGAAAAGAAACATATGTTCAGTTAAGGGCGTTTTCCGGACATCAACATGCAACACCACCCGATTCCAGCCCAGCAGCAAAAGGCCCGACGTGTGGGCTATATTTTTACATCTGAAATCCTTAAGTTTCTCAAATTCAATTTAGACCATCCCACATTTTTCTTTCTTTCTTGCACTTATCCACCTGGAACCCTTCCTTATCTTCTATTTCTTTTTCTCATCCTTTCCCCGATACCACCGAACAGAGGTGCCCAATATCGAGCCGAACCCTGCCGGCGGCGGCTGTGAGGAAATAGTGGCAGAAATTTTGCGGAGAGAGACCCGGTCTGCGGTCTAGGACCATCGCCTTGCTCGCCCGTCTCCTGTGCCGAGCCGAGACCAGGATGGAAACCGAAACGCAAACACAAACCAAGGTAAAACACAAACTGCACAAGCACAGAAGGCAGGGAAAAAAAGTAGCAGAAATTTTGCCTCTTTATTGTTAGGGATAGACTAGCAAATGTGCCCATACGTCGCAACGGGTGGAAAAAAAAATTATGTCATAGTTGACATCTTCTATCGGATGGTACACGGGATTGAGGGCCAATGTCTTGATCATGGCTTTAACCATGCTTACTGCACCTCGGTTGAGTAAGGTTTATCTAAATTTGTTAATATTTTGGAGATCATTGCAAATTACTTATGTGATGGAATATTCCAGTATCAAGTGTGTAGTTGCGGAATACATGCCCTGTTCGTTTTTCTTATAATCCGTACTTTTCAGCTTGTTTTTTTAGTCGAAACAGTGTTTTCCTCTTACAACAAATCAGCCGGAACAGTATTTCGACTTGTTTTTTCAGCGAAGCGAACGGAGCCACAATAGACAACATGATGAATATCTTTATATTTAAGTAGTGAAATTGCCCAATATTTCAATTTACACATTAGTTAGTTGGACCATTCAGTTATCCAAATTTTAGTAAGAATAGGTTCTGTTCTTAACCAAAACTACATTACACTTTTGGCTAGAAACTTTGTTTCCTCGAAAAGGGTCAATGGTAAAATGTTTACAATGTTACATTTATTTGTTACACAAGAAATCGGTACGACGTACTGAAAATAGAAAACGGTCCAAACAGACAGAAAATGGAAACCCAACAAATCAAAGGGAAACGCAAAAGCAGGCGGACTTAGTGGACAAAGAAAAGAAATCTATGAAAAACCAAAATCGGAGAGGAGAAAGAAACGTGAACAAACAGCCTGTTCGGCTGGAGCGGCTGGCTGGCTGGTGCTGGCCAGTCCTCTCACGTGGGCACTGTTTATATAAACAGTGTCTTCCAGCCAGAACAATATTTTTCTCTCACATTAAACAGCCAGCTGTAATAATCCATGATCCAACACGGAACAAGATAGGAGTTTTCTAAACAGGAAGGGACTGGAGTTTACGATGCTCTCGGTAAAACAAAAGAAAATACATGGGAACAACAGAAATAATACCAAAACAAAAAAAGCTCTCCACAGTATAGGTAGATTTGTCTAATTTCTATTTTTATTCTTTCTCTCTTATTTGTTAAATGTTGCTAGGGAGGAAGACAAATTCGCCCTGTTCGCTTGGTTTATAAGCCGTACTTTTTCAACCAATGAACAATATTTTTTTCTCATCACAAATCAGCCAATAATACTTTCAGCCATGGTTTATCAACCAAACGAACAGGCAAATGTCGTACCATCACATCACATTGAGCATGTAAATGGCTTAATGTCCGCTTATCCATGTGCGAGGGGTACGAAACTGGGACCACCTCAACCTGCTAGGCCTAGGCCGTTGATTTAGTCAAGGTGACAAACACGAGCCGTAGCCGTAACCATGCCAAAATGGTCATTTGAAAGCCGCAACCGCCGAGATTTTGCTCTCTCCCAGCTTCTCCTCGTAAACATAATACCAATTATCACAAAACTACAACTGGAGCCAGTTTTACAAAACGGTTTCAATTTCACCGGAGAAACTGTTCTATACGAGGAGCCAGAGGAAGAGTCCTTTGAAGAGGAACCCAAGCCCTATCAAATTGGGCCTAAATAAAAACATGATCAGACCTAGAGGTAGATCATTATCGCAAATTGTGTTTTTGGCATAGGCCATGTTCGCTGGGAGGAATTTGGAGGAATCTGGATAAATCTAAAGGAATTTATGAGAGAGTGAACAGTGTTTTTCAGAGTAAATTCCGGCTGATTTTAAGGGCAGGTGAACGGGGCCATAGTCTCATTGTTTGATAAAAAAAATACAATCTTAAGCAATAAGGAAAAGAAACTACTCCCTCCATCTCAAAAGTATAATTCTCGTTTTCTAAAGAGTTAAACTATTTATAGTTGACCAAACCTATAAAAAAATACTAACATTGATTTATAATAGCAAATAGTATTGTTATATTAGTTATGGATATTACAATTATTTAGGGACAGAAATATTGGTTTTATTTTTTTATACTTAGTTACCCTTAAAAATTTGACACCCCCAATCTAGTATATATTTTTTAAAGAAAGAATACATCACCTTCTCGGTATCGCCTAGTGTTGCATTCGCATGGACCCATATTAAATTCTGTCCATTCACGCTACCATCTGTTTCGGTTTTCATCACATCCTCTATCTCAGTTTGTCTCTAGTCTCTTCCATGAAGTCCCATCTATCTCTAGTTTCTTCCATCTATAATTTTTTTCACACGCAAAGCTGGAAGTTAACGACATCAAGAAACAAAGCACAAGCCACAGGCATGCATAGATCGAAACACAGACGTCTGGGAAACAGAAAAAGGAAACAGAGACGCATATGGGTAGACAGGAAAAAAAAACAGCCGGTTTCATGATTGCCAAAACCGAGCCACTTCAGGAGTATTAGGTTGGACGAAAATTTATTAGTGCTAGAAATTTTGTCTCTTTATTATTAGGTATAGATATAGATATGAATATAGATATAGATATAGATATAGATATAGATTAATTAATTTTATATAGTTCATTTTAATTTTACAAAAGCTAGTCATTGGTCTCAAAAGAATATGAAAAAGATTTGGAAATAAAAAGTTTCTCACGCCAGCCTACAAATGTTCAGATCTGAAAATTTGTATATTTGAATTAGTGTAATCCAAATGTTCTCGTAATACTTCAAAAATGAGAGGCTACAAAGTTGTAGGTCAATCAAGTGTAATGATTTTATATAAGTTACCTTCATTGAGTACCCATAGAAATTCATGATTCTATGAAAATATGTTATGCTTTGAGTGTTTTCTTATAAGGAATTTTTATTACATTATCAATATCTCGCAGATAGAATGACATATCTTTCCCAAATTACATTGCCAAAGATTCCCTAACTGGACATGAACCAAAATGATGAAACAGAATAAAGTAGGTGTTCTAGAAGTAGATGTTCCTTTAGCCGCACTAGCTAAAGAGTGAGCATTTACAATTGAAGATCGTGGAATCTTGTGAACTCGATGGTTGATGTCTGAGTTAAACTATCACAAAACATAGAAGCATACTCTTTTAAGTCTCCAGTGAGGTAAGGTGTTGGTACAGGCGCATTGAGATGACCATAGTTTCATTGTCACGCTTTTGTAGTTAATGTCC